AATGTTTTTATTTTTTACTTTTAAATTGGGCTAACATTCTAGACGGAAATTTCCGTCTAGGATGCATCCTAGACGGTAATTTCCATCTAGGATGGTGGGTCCCATAAAAGCGCCTGCTTCCCCTAAAATTTTTATTCCCAAAATTTGTTTCCCCGCCTAAATTCTTAAAGTCGGCCTTCCCAAATTTGATTCCCAAATTTTCGTTCCCAAAATTTCATTCCTAAAACTCCAGCGCTCCTACTCCTCCCTCCACGGCCTCCCCCTCCTCTCCCTCTCCCCCTAAGAGCATCTCCAATGGTACTCCATTCCTCTATAAATGGAGTACCATTGACTCCAATGGTGCAACTGTAGCACCCTCTATATTAAGAGGGTGCTACAGTAACCCTCTATATTTGAAGGATTTGGGCTCATATAGAGGGTGCCCTCTATAATACTATTCATATATTTTAATTCCAATTTTGCCTTCCCATCTCATTATAACTTTTCATAAATACCAATTGTATCCATAAATATAATTAAACTAATTATTTAACTTAATATAATTTTAAATTTACTCGTCTATTTTAAATAAAAATTATATCATTGAAATTGTCTTTGCCGAAACCTTCAAAATAAGACTAATATTTAATACTTTTAATATTAATTTTAAATTTATCATTATGAAATGTTGAAGTACAGAGAATTTAAAATACATCACGCTTAAAAAAAATTACATTATTCCATTACCATGTCTTTGCCATAAATATTCATTGAGTGCATTCCAAAGTTCAAAGTGAGCCTTCCGATCTTGGATTTTCCTATGTCGACTGAGGAATCGTCTTAAAACAAAATAATTTTAAAAATATTTTATTAACGAATATTTTTATTTTATTTTATTAAAATAAACTAATTTAAAAATGACTCTAAAAATATTCAATATTAATCTCATTTAAAATGTTTCGGCGAGACGGTTCTAAAGGTATAATTTTTGTACAAAAAATGATAAGTTTTAATTATTTTATTTACATTATTAGTTTTTTAATGATAGATTAATTCATATAAATATAGAGGGCACCATTGGAGCACAACTTTTACAAACTCTCTATATTTGAAGAATCTTGAAGAATATTCTCTTCAAACCCGCGCTCCTCCGCCTCCCACCGGACCCCTCCCCGACAATCACTACATCCTCTCCTCCGCCCTCAAGTCCCTCCCCTCTCTCCCAATAGTGTCTGCGCCCCCACTCCACTTGCCCTCAAGCTCCGCCCCTTTCCGACCTCTTCGTTCTCCACCTCCCTCACTTGAGTCCCCTCCCATGCCCCGAGGATCGGTGGGTACAGTGGGGGCTAAAACCCTAACCACCTCCTCGCTTCCAAATCCATCCAATCGCACCCTGGATGCTTAACGGCTTTAACCCCCGCAGGTCATGAACCTCCTCTTTGCCTCTCTAGATAGAAAATTACTCAGAGGCCTCGAAGATTCATTTCGTCGTGGCGGGGACTGGCCTCGATTTCGACGGCCTCTTTCAGTTTCGGCCGCGGCTGGGCGTGGCGGGGAGGACATGGGAACTCTGATGGCGACGGGGGGTGCGAGGGCGGGTCGGAGTCTTCCGCGGTGGGGGTTGGAGAGGGATCGGCTCACGAGTCTGATGTTATTATTCTCGATGTTGGAGTAAGATTTTTCTTTTTGCTGTTTTGGTACTTCCTTTCCTGAAAAAGAATGTTTCGTCTTTCCATGGTTTTTGTAATAAAAAAATTCCCATTTTTATGTATGCTATTGTCGTAATATTTTTCCCTGAGAAAGAACTGCTTTCGTGTCTTGATGATTTCATTCATATTGCAAATTCATAACTTGGGTTATGAGCTTTCCTCCGATTTTTATTTTTACTTTAAATTGCTGTACAGAGTTATCTATGTTTATGCCTCTTGTAAATGATGGAAATGTAATGATGATTTCGGAAGTGTTAAGTTCTTCCTAGGCTAATCTCTTGGTTGTGGTGGGATATATTATAGTAGAGAAAATAGAACCAACTGATAGTTATCAGCACATGTAAAGTTTACAAAAATTTGAAATAATTTTTAAAAAAGAGAGCAGAGTAATGATATTTTCCCAATAGATTAGCAAATATCTCGAAGACCCGAGCTTGGTGATTATAAATGGCAAGCAATCAAACTATTAGAGGTCCCAAATTCAAGACTGCATTAAGGCTAAGGCACCATTCCAAAAGAAAAAGAATAATATAGTAACTTATGGTTGTGACAAAATACTTTTACAATTTATTTAAGAGGTTTTGGTTACTATCATTACTGATTGTTGGGGTTTCACCCCTCTTAACAATTGCTATGATTATTCTCATGCACATTAGTTATTAAGGAGCTGTAATACTTAACCTTGTGCATGTACGATGAGTGAGATGCAAATGAGATATGGCTCTCCACATGCGGCTCCCCCATTAGAACAAATCCCCCAAACCTAAGTTCATAAAAGGCACATTTAAAATTTTTATTCACACCAGTCAAGTTACGAGATCTAAATTGCCTGAAGCACCCAAAATAAAAGGAAATAAGAAAAAAAAAATGAATATGTATGTTATTTTCAAATTTGCATTTTGAACCTAAATTTTTTCCCTGTCGGTAGAAGGATACGCTTCATGATAGCTTAGTTGATAGGGCTATAATATATTGTTACTATGTATTTTAAGTAGTAGGAAGATGACCAACTGTTTGGACCAATTTTCTTTATTTTTATAGTATTTTAAATCTTTGATAGTTTTTTAGCTCAAAAAAAATTATAGGGTATATATTAATTGGTTATCCCAATAATTCTTTCAGGGAAATTTCAAGGTTTTAAATATCGGATATCGAGAAAATATCGAATGGCCAAAATTCATATCGGATTGCGGATATTGGGGAAATATCGGGGATATGTGGTAAATATCGGAATACCATAATGAATGTTTGCATACATAGTATAATACATTAAAATGTAATCTCAACATACGTAATGAAAATTTAAGTATACAAAATATGAATAATATATGTTTAGGATCACTAATCAACCTTCTAAAACAAACAAAAAATTTAAGTATACAAAATATGAATAATATATGTTTAGGATCACTAATCAACCTTCTAAAACAAACAAAAGTGCAAAGCACACTAATCAACCTTCTAAAACAAACAAAAGTGCAAAGCAACGTTGCAACATTCGATCTGCCTTTTTTAGAGCAAAATGTCATTTGATATAATGAGGAAGTCTTGATATCTCGCCCAAAAATTTCAAACGCGGTATATTATTTCGTAACAAACTATATAAAAAGATATATTGGTCCACATATCGGTTAATATATCGGCAATATCGGGGATTTATCACTCAAAATAGCCAAAAAGCGGTAAATGATATTTAAAGAACATATCGGTTGCGGCAAGCTCTGTAAAGGATATATCGGGGGATATATCGGGCCATGTCGGGGATATTTAAAACAATGCAGGGAATATCCTATGGTGGGTGTGCTGCGAGTGTGAAACGGATTTTGGAAAGTCAAGTAACACAAATAAAAAATAAGGTATCCTAGACGAAAAATTCCATCTAGGAAAATCAGAATTCCGTCTAGAATACGTGTCTAGGAAGTTTCCATCTAGGATGTAGTATTCTAGACGGAAATTCCGTCTAGAATACATCCTAGACGGATTATTCTAGACGGAAGTAAAGACCGTCTAGAATACATCCTAGACGGATCATTCTAAACGGAATTTTCCTCTATAATACTACATCCTAGATGGAAAAAGTTTCGGTGTAGGATGGGTATCCTAGACGCAAATTTCCGTCTAGGATATTTTTTTAATGTTTTAATTTTTTTTAAAAAAAAAAGCATCCTAGACGGAATTTGAGCATCCCGGATGGAATTTCCGTTTAGGATGCTATGCTACAATAGTTTTTTTTTTACTTGCTTGCTTGCTTGCTTAGAAATCTACTTTGTGCATTGAAGAATTAAGCAAAAAGTTCTTATAGGGAAATATTTGAGCTTCTTTCATTACATCTAGGAAAAAGTATGATCAATTTTGCAAGTAAGATTATACCAAGATGAACTAATCTAATAATATCTATTAACAAAATAAACGTTATACCAAGATAAAGTACATTAATTTAGCATTACAAAGACTCAAACTACCTTTAACAATTACACTCTAACATGAATAAATCAATAAAATTACAAATGACCCAACTTGTTACATATGGAAGCAATTGCCCCCTCTCTCCTTTCAAAATGTCTGCTCTACTCTCTCACTTCCCTTTCTGTGTGAAAGTGCATCCATCATGAGGCCCACATGCTCTTCGTTCACCTGCAAAAATTGATTTATTACGAGTAAATATCCTAGAATATAAATTTTAGTGGTCAGGAAAATTAAAACATGTGAAATATTTGGTGAAAAGTGACGAAAGAGTAAGTCTTCATGTAGGATTTTTGTTTAAGCTCAAGTTAATAGGTAAACAACCCTACTGAAGAAAAGAAATTGTCTTTCAATTCTAATTGACCCCCTAGCTACATTATGCACATATTTGGCCCTAAAATTATAATAGTCACAATTCTACAAAAGAAGACAATGTCATACACTTAAATTGACGAGAATCATGTCACCAACCAAGCCACAGGCACAAAATAAGTCCCCCAAATCGCTCAACTTGTCATAAATAATCTAAAATAAGTCCCCCAAATCGCTCAACTTGTCATAAATAATCTAAAATAAGTCCCCCAAATCGCTCAACTTGTCATAAATAATCTAAAATAAGTCCCCCAAATCGCTCAACTTGTCATAAATCAGACCCTCGGGTTATATACGTTAAATTATCCCCTGATGACTGATGTGCCACATTAAGACTATCAGCCCCTTGACAATACACTCCAGCAGAATGGTTTACAAGGCAGTAAGCACAGAAATGGAAATGCTCCTATCATGTCCATTGGCAACTTCATGACTCGATTTTCCGCTACCAGTAACTAAAATGCTGAATCGATGCAAAATGAAGCTAACAGTTCAAAAAACCGGAAGATGATCTCGTAGGCCATAAGTTTAATCATAAATTGTACGCTTCACGAGCAAAAGCTACCACGTAAGATAACAAAGTATGCCGATGATACACTCGTATAGATACGCAGAGCACACAAAATCCTTCATCTTATGCAAATTCATCGATATGACAACAACATATTATTATCTAACACATTATATATGGCCATAACTTCTTACTTGAAGTTGTCGGAGAACTCATAAACTTGCGACAGGCATCACATAAACAGTGGCCCGAGATGTGTAGAAGAGTTTCTGAGTTTCTTTTATCCTGAACTCTACTGTCAAATGTAAGAAATATACTGTCAAATATTTAGAATAGGGTTAATCCTAGATACACTTTTCGTAAGAGTGTGCCACTTGTACTGCCTAAACTATTATACTAGTACTTTCAGCCTCTGAGGACAAAATTTCTTCCATTTAGTTGAGATATCACTTAAAAATCACATGATTGTACGTTACCTATTTCCCTCACTTTAACTGAAAAAAAAGAAAAAGAAAAAAGAAAAAGAAAAAAGAAAAAGAAGAAGTAAATTTCCTTCTTAATCGAGGGAATAACAAATTAATGTCGTCCAAGATATCTGTGATTAACCCGTTATGTCTGTGAAAATTAACCCTAAGCCATCAACTCTCTGTTTTTAACAACAGAGCCCCTATATTATACATGCCTTTTCTAATAAGCCCTCAATTTTCTCTTTTGATAACTAAACCCTTAAGTCCTACCCCGTCTCTTCTAGGTAGCCCTCAACTTTCTCTTTCTGACAACATAACCCCTAAATTAACAAGAATACTTGGGGAACTTCTTAGAAGAGATGGAAAACAGTTAGGGGTTTCGTTGTAACAAAAATGAAAGTAAAGAGCTTCTTAGAGGAGAGGAATAAAATTTAGGGACTTCTTTGTTACCCAAAAAAAGGAAAAAGTTTGGGACTTGTTAGAAAAACGGGCTGAAATTTCGGGGCGCTTTAGACTATCTTCCCAGTGTATATATGTCTGTGCGAATGTGTCCACGAATGCGCACACAGTCTTATTCACACAAGTGCTCATAACATGCATTTATGTTCTTTCAACAGGTCCTCCTTGCTGTTCACCAATTCCATAACTAAACCAATCAACTGTGGAACATATCTGATTACACTCTCTGTTAGGATGGCACAGGAAACATCAAAGAAAACATGGTGACTGCTTTTGTTAATGGTTCACTAGCATCCCTGTGCACGCCATTCGTGCATGACGCAGACATTTGAGGACTTTTCAGTTCGCTTTTTCCAAATGCGAGACCTTGTTTATATTGATTCTTCTAAGCGTGTGCGTGTTTATTGTGATCCTTTTAAAGTGCCAGAGCATTTTCAGAATTTTCTGAAAATTTGACGCCCAAACCAAAGGTTGGGGGCTTTTCCTACTAAATAGTATAAATAGATGATACATAATTACGGAGGTGTATCAAGTATACGATCAGCGAAGTACTTGCTTGATAGCTTATATTGCATACTACCAATGTCCGAAAAACAAGCTTTTTGGCTCGGGTTACAGGCCCTCGTTTCTCCCCTTTGATTGAAAAATTAGAAATCAGCAAAAATTACAAATGCTACACTCGCGTAAGGTCAGATCGTAGCTTCAATACCCAACAACACCATTCATACGGAAAGTCGAAAATTTCCTACTAATAGGTCAGATCGTAGCTTCAATACCCTACAACACCATTCATATGGAAAGTCGAAAATTGATAGAATCACCGAATTCAATCAAATTAAGCAGAAATCGAGTAAAAACTGGTTAGGGTTTGATCTCACATTGAGCCTGGCAGCGGAGAGATACGCGGTGCTCGACTCCCAGAGAAAGAACTCCTTGTCCCCGGCCACCGTCTTCGCGCACGCGAGCCCCACCTCCTCCGCCACCGCCGCCACCCCGATCCCCCCCCTCGCCGTTCAGCGAATTGTACGGATTCTGCGCAAATCGAACCAACCCCAACAATCAACCTCTCAAGATCGAGAAAGTTAACCCAACAACAAAAAAAAATTAAAAAAAAGGGAAGGGAAGCTTTCTGTTTTCGGGAGAGCTTACGGTGATGACGGGGGTGATGGAGAGATCTTTATGGCCGGAACGAAGGGGGCGACGTTGGCGGCGACCCATTGAGAGGCAAAGGACGGGGAATTCGCGAGGTTGGGGATGTCTCCGTTGGCAGGTTTTGACGGGTTTTTTTTTTTGAAATGGCCAGTTAGTTTAGACGAAAATTTCCATCTAGGATGTATCCTAGGCGGAAATTTCCGTCTAAAATATCTGGCTATTTTAAAAAAAAAAATTAAAAATAAAGGAACCGTCTAGAATACTATTCTAGACGGAATTTTTCGTCTAGAATGTTTTATTCTAGACGGAAAATTTCTGTCCATTTTAATAGCATTCTAGACGGAATTTTCCGTATAGAATGTTTTATTCTAGACGAAATATTCTAGATGAAAAATTTCCGTCTATTTTAATAGCATTCTAGACGGAAAAATTTGCGTCTAGAATATTCCGTCTAGAATACGTGATTTTCTACTAGTATAGGTTCTTTCTCTTCCTCCGGAATTTTAATATTCTGATACACCTAGAATTTTCTTTCACTGAATGATCTTGTAAGCGTTCTTAGTGTTAGTATCATTCATTATCTACTGAAAAAAAAAAATTCTAGTACAGGATAGGAGTAGCTTGTTAATTGGTGATGCATATTAGAGACTTCTCATCATATTTATCTGCGCATCAGAAAACAAATAAGATACTTTTTAGCCATTTCCATCTTCTCCTCATGCACAACTGCCAGTTAAGACATACATAAAACCTATAGTAATTCAGGATTCTGTCTGAAGGCTGGAGGACATTACAACGAAAGCATGACTTGTGTAATTAATGCTATATTTCTCGGGTGTCAAATAGCTTGTGCAAGTTGAACTAATTTTTCATACAACCCCTGAGCTACTGAAAATTTCTTTCTTTTTCATACTATAATGATCAAATTTTATATTCCCTGGGTTTTTCCTAACTCTTATCTGGAATCACAAACTAGGGAATAGGTGAGTTGCGCATGCATTTTAAAAAAATCAATTTGGTTCTGTAGACAAATATTCTCTTATTTCTCATCTCTAGGTCTTTGTTTTGATTCTGTTTTTAGCACATAATAGTTTTTACATTGAGTTATCATTAGCTAGTGAAGACATTTAGAATCCCACTAATTTTTGATCTGGATTTGCAGCTGCAGGTGTCCACTGCTAGTATCAACCTTGCTACTGAAACAACAGTTGTATGGGCTGTTCCTGAAGCCGAGGCAACAGTGTGAGAAGCTGGGAATGCTTGTAAACAATTTAAGTATCTTTCTAATTTTTTGGTGAATGTATTATTTGAATATAATTGGATTTGATATTGGAATATAATTAGATTGTGTTAGATATGAATATGATTTGGTGTTGTGCAATATTGTGCATATGTATATGTGATATTAGATGACATGCAAAGCAGATTCCCAAAAAAAATTCTACTGTAGCATCCTAGACGAAAAATTCCGTCTAGGATGCTTCCTAGACAGTATTTTCCATCTAGGATGCATCCTAGATGGAGTTTCCTAGACGAAATTTTTTCGTCTAGGATGCTTTCTAGATGATTTTACATTCCATCTAGGAGGTATCCTATATGGAAATTCCGTCTAGAATACTGCATCCTAGACGGCAACATACTGGACGTACATCCCAAACAGAATTTCATCTAGGATAGTTTTCCTAGACGAAAATATGAGTATCCTAGACAGAATTTTCCGTCTAGGATGCATCATTTTGTACCAGTGAACGTTGCTTTACATTTTTCTTGTTTTCGTCTTCGGCGTATTCTCTATAATTTGTGTTCTACTTTGGTACTATGATATGGCACTTATGAGATATGCAACATTAATTGCTCTTAAAGGGCTATTGGTGTATGTTGTTAGCTTCATGGTTATGAGCCTACTCCCTAATCTTGTTTTGATGATTACAAACAATTCCTAACATTGTGTGTCGAGTACTTGCATTTGTTTTGTTAGATAATCTACACAAACATCAAAAATGGAGGTTGGATGTGTTGGGTCCTTTTGTTTTGATGATGATTTACAAACAATTTGCATCTAATGTTGTTTGTCTAGTATTTGTGTTTTGTATTTATTCTAGGCAAATAATTGTTAGAGGATGGATGAAATCAAGCTTCAACGATCATATCAAATGGAGGTTAGCGGAATATCGATATGAAGCTAATGCACATTCAAGACATATTTAAGATCAAGCTTCATCTGTTAGACCCTAGAGGGGGGGTGATTAGGGTCTTATGCTAATCTAATCTGATTAAATGCCAATTAAAATTACTTAACAAATATATTCTTGCAAGATAGATATATAAAGAGTTATGTGCAAGAATATGCAATGTACACAAGGTGATATATCCTATATGATAGAAATATGTGTAAGGATATATGAACAATAAGATATATCCTAACAAAGAGATATAGACAATATTTATATGTGCAAGGATATAAAATTAACACAAGGGTGAAATAATCATAAACTAGATAGAGGGAAAAACAACAATGAGCAATTGACAAAGGAAATATAAATAATAAGCACGAATGTAAAAGTATGCCAATGCAATCACAAACAAAACGATATGTTTACGAGGTTCGGTCCCCACGACCTACGTCCCCGCTCCTCACCTCGAGGAGATCTCCACTATCACAACCGGGTTTTCTACGTTCACCCGAACAACGTTTACACCTCACAATACAATCACTATGTAATCACACCTCACACACTAAGTGTTGGTCCTAGCCCGTGTCCTCCTCCTCAAGTGCTCGGTTACAACCTCTCCCTAGGCACGTCAACCGACGCCACTCCTCTTGGATTCGACCCCGTCTCTCACCACACACTTCTCTCGGTGTACAAGTGTATTACAAGTGAATCCTCACAATTAAGCACAAGATAAATCAATTGATTGTTCTCTAAACAAGGTGAGAACTCAATTAAGCACAACTCTTAGTCACAAACCCACAACCCCAAATTATACTATGAATGTAAATACAATAAGCTCAATAGGTTGTGTGTGAACAAAGAGATAATAAAATCAACTAAACTCAATATGAACACTAGCTTAATAAAAAGATAATCAAACAATATAAAATATGAAGCTAGATTGAGTTTAGAAAACTTCTCAATAGATCAAGAGTGGAAGGAGAAGAGTTGGATGCTCAAACACCAATAGATGATCTCCTCAAGCTCTTGTGGAAGTGATTCACAAAACCAAAACACTCAAATGCTTAAAAGCTTATAAACACACTTAAACCAAACATAAACCCTTGATTAAAACTCTCTTAAACTTGTTTTTAAATCATGAAACTATCTTTGGATCGATTCATTATTCACATGTAAACCTTATAATTATCACACGCTTATCATCGCAGATGTGTATACAGTCTAAATAAATATTAACCTTCCTTTGGGCCGATTAAATATTTACACGAAAGCATACACACAAACATCTCACATTCCTCATGAACAATCTACACAAGAGGGGTTAATTTGGCAACTTCTTATTTCAATTAATCAATTGGAGTGAGAGACAACCTTTATACCTTAGTGTCATAATATTTGAATTAATAATTGATTAAAAAACCAAATTAGATTTAAATTTAATTTAAATCAACTGAATTTCCAAAAACTTAATTGGGGTCTCACAGCTTAATTAGGGCCCATAACTTAATTGAATAAATTAAGTATACCAAAGTGGACCCATGAAAAGCCGAGGCTTAACCATAGTGAACACGAAGTTCCCTTAACTTCGCGACTGTATTGAGTACAAGACTCACTTAAGCACGAACGCGATGTTCGTCTGAAAATGAACGTGATGTTCAACTTGAGAACGAACGCGAGGTTCGTTTGAAGATTGAACGCGAGGTTCGACTGAAACTGAACACAGGGTTCAACTTGAGAACGAACGCGAGGTTCGTTTGAAAAATGAACGCGAGGTTCAAGTTGAGAACGAACGCGAGGTTCGTTTGAATTGAGCATAGGGCTCTCCTGAGGATGAACGCGGAGTTCGACTTGAATTGAGCGCGAGGCTCACCTAAGAACTGAGCGTGAGGCTCAATTTAGATTGAGCGCGAGGCTCACCTGAGAACTGAGCGCGAGGCTCAACTTAGATTTGAGCGTGAGGCTCACCTGAGAACTAAGCGCGAGGCTCAACTTGAATTGAGCGCGAGGCTCACCTGAGAATGAACGCGAAGTTCGTTAAAATTGAGCGCGAGGCTCACCTGAGTTGAGCGCGAGGCTCACATGAGAACGAACACGAAGTTCATTAAAATTGAGCGCGAGGCTCACCTGAGTTGAGCGCGAGGCTCACATGAGAACGAACGCGAAGTTCGTTAAAATTGAGCGCGAGGCTCACCTTATAACGAACGCGAAGTTCGGTTGAGGTAACCACCTCCTTAATTTTCGCCACGATTAATCGCACGAACCCTTAGGGTTTCAAACTGAAACCGCCGCCGCCATTGCTCCGGCACCCAAGAGGTCAAAACCCTAGGGTTTCCTGACGCCGCCGCCGAGGGCGAGGCCGCCAGCGAAACTTCGCCGGCGAGGAGCATGGAACCGAAGATCAAACCCAAAAAATTTTTTGATTTTTTATTTTCAAAAACAGATCCAGAATCGGAAAAAAATTTCTTGATCCAAATCACAAAAAATCAAAGAAAAAATCCAAAAATTCTAAAAAGTTATTGTTCATCCGAAAAAACCATACTGTTCACCCGAAAAAAATTTCAACAGCCGTTACTGTTCATCCGAACATTACTGTTCATCCGAGAACAGATCTTAATCCAAAAAACCAGAGATTTAAGATCAAAAAACCCAATTTTAAAACTTAAATCCTTAAGAATTAATCAAAGGTGGCTCTGATACCACTTGTTAGATCTAATGAAGAACTTGAGATCTAAAACCATAAAGCCATGATTAATTCGAAGAGATTAACAAGAATCAAAAGAGCGGAAGCTTATACCTGAATCCATAGATGAAACCTGAGATGGGTTTTGGATCTTTTAACCTTAGGGTTTTTCTCTATAGCCGAATTTCTCTCTAGATGGGGGTGAAGAGAATTAGAGAATGTAACCCTAGATTAGGGACCATAACCCCTTATTTATAGATGTTGTATATTTACAATTTAGCCCCTCAACAAATCACAATTACAACCTGGTATCTGCACATATAACCCCATGATTTATTTAAATACCCAATTAACCCAAATTAATTGATCACTTTAGTGGGTTATCCTGAAAGATAGCAATACACATTGATTAATCATATGTGCCCACAATTAGATTTATTAGATTAAATCCAACATTGTTCTCCCAAGCAATGTGGGACTAAAACCCACTACAATACATTATTATCAACAGCCCCCTTCAAACTCATGTTGGATCAAACAAAGTGAGTTTGCGTACAAGAAACTGGAACCGATGAACAGGTAAAGCCTTTGTAAAGAAATCTGCAAGCTCGTCAGCGGATGAAACATGAGGAAGTAGAATTGTCTTGTCCTTGATAACTTGGTGACGGACAAAATGAGCGTCGATCTCAATATGTTTGGTCCTTTCATGAAATACTGGATTATTAGCAATCTGGATGGCACTCTTATTATCACAGTAGAGAAGAGTAGGAGTCGTAACAGAAATGCTGAAATCACTGAGAAGGCGACGAAGATGAATAATCTCTTTAGGTGTTGTGGACATTGCACGAT